TGAGGACCACGGACAGCTCCAAATGAGGAACTCACACCAACAGAAGCAAAGTTCTTTAAATTATTGGTGTTAATTCTTATTGGTAATTTTATTGTTTTATCTTTTCTGTAAATCCTGTTGAGATTTTTTTTTTTACACTTCGTGGTGTATAAATTTTATGAAACAAACAACCCTCTAGTCTGAAGACACGCACACCTCTTTCATTCTGCAGTGTGCACACCCTGGTGTCGATAGACTGGTGATTTGTGGTGGGAGGCATCTGCTTCTTCAGGGTCAGGGAAGATGTCTGACAGTCCAGGTTCTGAATCCATGGGCCCCAATAGCCTGGGAGGTTCCAGCTCCTCATCTGGTGCCCCTGCAGCCTCTGGTTCATTATCCATAGAATCACAGAAATGTAGAGCTAGTAGAAACCCCCAAGACTCACCCAGCCCAATCCCCATGCAATGCAGGAATTACAGCTGAAGAATCCCTGGCAGATAGCCATCCAACCTGTGTTTAAAAGCCTCCAATGAAAGTCCACTTCTCTGATGAAGAAAAGTCCAACTCTCACCATTAGAAAGTTCTTTCCTATGTTTAGTAGGAATCTCCTTTCTTGTCGCTTGGAGTCCATTGGTTTGGCTCCTACCCTCTGGAGCAGCAAAAAACAAGCTTGCTCCCAAGCTTCCATTAATCTGGAACACTGATGGATTCAGGGGGCATGACTTCTTTGGGCACATGTGATTCCCCTCTGCCTCAGTCTGGGCCCAGGGTCATTCATTCTTCTTCTGCCACCAGGTTGCTGGCTTGCCAGGCAGCCAATGTGGCACATTCTCTCCAGCAATCCTGAACTCCCTGGGACAGAAGGCTCTCGGACTCTCAGTGCAGCAGATTGAGAACTGCATCCCCTGGCAACATGCTATCCTCTTCTCTGCCTTCCTTGAGCAAAGTTCAGGGCTGGGACCCTGAACAGGCTGGCGCCATCCTGGAGAAATTGTTCAGTTCTGGATACCAGGTAAGACGAACATTGTCCCCTTGCATATGAAACACGTACAGCTGAGCAGGAACCTTGAGGAGACGTGGGAGTGAAGAAACCTGGTACAGGGAACTTCTGCCAGAAGTTGAAGGTTTTTGCCAACAGGAAAGAGGTGTAGCTCAGTGGTAGAGTATCTGCTTTGCATGCAGAAGTTCCCAGGTTCAGCACCCCAATGGAATGACTGGGAGAGTCCCAGTTTGCAACTATGAAGAGTCACTGCCAGTCAGTGTGAACAATGCTGAGCTAGATGGACCAATGATCTGACTCAGCAGAAGGCAGTTTCCTATGTGCACATTGGCCCCAGTGTCTAGCAGGTCAGAATGATACTGGTAAGAAATCGGTCCAAGGAGAAATGGGTCAAAAGCTCATATAGAAAGAAGGAAAATGTCCCGACTAAAGAAGAATGGCAACAGAAGTTATTAGAATGCTCAGAAATGGTGAAACTTACTGGACGAATAAGAAATCAAGACGATTTTTTTAAAAATATAGCATGGAAACCGTTTATTGAATATTTACAAAACTCTTGTAAACAAATTAAGACTTTAGCAGGATTAAAGTAAAAACATGCAGTGACAAAAAAACATATATTGAATATCTGGGATAAACAATAAATAGGGTTAACATGGAAATGCAGTAAAAACAGTATACTGTAAATGTAAGAAACCACAAAAGGGGTGTGGGGAGTCAAATTATGATGTGAAATAATTCAAATTTATGTTTTGTGTTTGTTGTAAAATGAAAAGTATAAATAATTTTTTTTAAAAAAAGTTCATGTAGAAGTCCCTTAAGAACATGACTCAATGTGGGCTTGCAGTGTCTCCTAGCTCCAAGCTACCAGTTCAGTCTTCTGGGTGAAGTTGACTATTGGATGACCAACCTGGTTTCTACAGCTAAGAGTTCCCTATTTACAGATTCAGGATGGCCAGAGCCTTGCAGCACTTGGGAGTTTGGTGGTTGGGTTGAGCCACACCAGCCTGGAATCCATACCTGCCCAGGTGGTCTTGGACGCTGTTAAAGTCCCAGGATTTGCCAAGCAGCTGGAGACTGTGCCACCCACTCTGAAAACAACATTTGTGGAAAAGGTGAGGCCTTTCTTTTTCCTGTTAACTCATTGTGGTATTTTGATGCTATTATTTATTAAATGGTTTTTAAAAAATTCTTCTGTTCAGCCAAAACAACCCCCCAGAGCAGCTTGTGATCTGAAAGACACGGCACAAAAAGAAAAGGGGGGTGGGAGGGAGAAGGGGGAAATAAACTCAAGCACTAGTTCTTAGCTACAGAATCCTTGACCTGTCAGGATGGAAAGGTTTCAAGGAGAGGGGAGCTCAGAATTTCCAGCCTTTCAGGAGAACTGACAGAGAGGCTTAATAATAACAGCTTTCATGTTTTTAAAAGCACTTCACGTACATTATAATTATTGTAATCCTTTACAACAACAGCCACCTCAAGGCACATGCCAACTCAGGAAAAATCTTACCACTGCCTGCACTGCTAAGCAACACCTTCCCCCATGCCCTTCTCAGCTAGTTGACTTTAACACCAGCAGGATTAACCTTAAATTATCAATTGAATGATCCCTGCTGTTGCATTTCCAACCAAGACAACCCTGCTAAGTGGGAAAATAGTGACTTGGTGAGCTTTGTGGACCAGTAGGTATTTTAACCTGGATCTTCCTAAGGCCACTTAGGGATAGGGGAGAATTTTGGTTCAGTTCTCATTTTAAAGTGATTTGAGGTTTTGTGAAGGCCCTGATCTGACTTATTGCGGTTTATTGACACTGTGCTTTGACTCATGGAAGGTGGAGAGCACCCCCAAACCACATTTGTCCACCTGCACACCCCTAATATTTATATTCCGATGGATTGTTTTCACACTTTTGCCTATCACCCAGGAATATGAAGAGTCATCAATAAGTATTTTAAATAAACAAACAAAGCAGCCATGATGGGCTAGATGGGACTGTCATTCAGTTCAGCAAAAGTCTTCCCCCATGAAGTATAACTTTGTTTTCTAGCTGGTTGCTGCTACAGCAGGATTTAACGACCTAGTGAAATACACCCCAGATGGTCTGGTTCCCTATATACCAAAATCACTGTTGGTCCCTGGTGACACATTCAACATTCAGGATCTCAATGACAAGCCATGGACCCCAGAGCAGGTGAGACAGGGAGATGACTCACCCTTATTTCCAGCTCCTCCTGGACATCAAGGAGGAATCACGTGTCCTTGTTATTAACAAAAATTGTTTATGTTCTTCTTGGTTTATTCCCATAGGCTGCCATCTTGTTTCCTGATATAATCAAGAGGGTCCCTGAAATCCACAGGTATTGCTGACCCCTAATATTCTTTTTTATTTTTTGGTCTTTTTTCCTCTTTGTGGAATAAATGCCTCATTTATTCATAGCACTCTTTTAAATGGGTGGCTTTATTGGAGGGGAATGGTCTGGAGAGGAGAGGAAAGGCCCACCCATTAGCCTAGAGGGCACCGTCACTTAGTTGTAACTCTTGCAACCCAGCTCATTCTTTTTGGGATGCTGATGAGGACACTTCAGTGGCCAGTTTATTTTCTTACAAAGCAACTTGTCTGACCAGGCCAGCAGCCTCCTCTCTTCAATTTTAACTCTCATTGGGCATGGGATCCCAAGAATTGGAAGTGACTCAGGGCATCATCCAGACCTGGGTAGGCAAACTAAGGTCCACAGGCCGGATCAGGCCCAATTGCCTTCTGGTTCCGGCCCACGGATGGTCCAGGAATTGCCTCGTGGATCGCTGGCATGCACGTTCGTTCCTTCTCCCTCCCTCTCCCTCACACGGCGGTGGCAGTGGTGCCTCCCTCCCTCCTCCTGGCTTCTCCCCGCCCTGCCTAGAGGAGGAAGGGGGCTGGGCTTTGTTGGTGCCAGCAGCAGCAGCACTCAAGTGGCCGCCATTTTAAGCAGCCTGTGCTGGTCCCGTGGGCTAACCGAGAGGCGAGGTCTGAGTCCAGTCCGAGGTCGAAGCTGCAGTATGGAGGCAGTCGGTAAAAGCTGAAGCTGGGTGCAGGGCAGGGAGTCAGGTGAGGTCAGGAGCTCTGGCTTGAAAGCAGGACGGGGTTCAGGCAGGTACTGACAACCAGCGATGTTGCTCCCGCAACTTGGGACTGGGGCTGGCTGGCTTTTATCTGCCCAGAGGCATAGGGCGGCCCTGACTCTCAGGTGTCTCACCTCTCCTGGCCTGGAGGCGAGCGCTCCTCCTGCAGGAAGTTAGTTCCTTCCGCCTCTCTGCCCTGAGCCTCTGTAGCTCAGGAGAGGCTGGAGGGTTACTGGACCCAGAGGCAACCTCAGCTTCCTCTACCAGGGCTGGGAGTGGAGCACCTGCAGGCAATGGGTCCTCCACCACCTCAGGAGCCAGAGCAGACTCAGCTGGTGCCTGCACCTGAGGATCCAGCACAGGTGAGGACCTTTCAGGCTCATGCCCCAGCCCCAGCTCAGCTGGCTCTGGAGGCGGGGAATCCTGTGCAGGCTGGGATTCCTCAGGTTCAGCATCCAAATCCAAATCCCAGGCCATCACACAGCCCTTTCGTGCATTGCTCATCATCCCGCCGCCACCACCAGCCCCTGCCTCTCACAACACACAGGTAAGCAGCCATCGGGGCTTGTGGTGCTCTTCCATAATTCCCCCCCCAAAAAAAAATAGTCTGCCCCCCACAAGGTCCGAGGGACAGTGGACCTGCCCCCTGCTGAAAAAAAGTTTGCTGACCCCTGATCCAGACTGACCCCTCAAATCCACAACACAAGAATTAGTTGGCTCTGCCAGCCACCAGTGCCCCTGATCGAATTATGAGCCCTCCATGTTAAGTGTTTCAAAGGCAGAGGAGGAGAAAGGTTAGGAGATACACCAGCTCTCCACTTCATACACGTTCGACTGAGCCCCTCACCTTTTAAAAAACACTGGTGATGTTCTTCCCAACTATCCATTCATCGCTTATGGGCCTCCCTTGGATTTTCAGCCTATCCCCTTCCATACTGCAAGGTGTTACTTGTGCAGTCGCTGCTGATATGGATGATGAGAGATTCCAACAGCTACTCAGCGTTCTGGGGCAGAAGAACGTTCAGCTGAGCGAAGAACAGGTCGGCTTCTTTGCATGCATCTTGAGGGCTTTTTTGAGATCAATATTTGAAAGTATTTTCAAAGACCTGAATTGAATCTCCCGTCTCAGCTTTAATCCTTGGTGTGTGTTCTTGGGGATAAGATAGTAACAGAACTGGGGCCAGTCATTCTGTTAGGTAGGGTAGGGGGCCACCTCAGGCAGTAGGTGATGATGAACTTGGTGTTGTTTGTAGGGTTTTGTGGGAGAGATTATTGCTGTTGTTGCTGTGGGGTTTTTGTATCTTTATTTTAGATCTTGTGATTTATGTGGAAATTGTCCATTTTGGTTATGTATTTTTAATGTTTTATTTATTTTGTTATGTTCTAGTTAAGTAGTGTGGTTTTTTCATGTTGTAAACCACCTTGAGCATGGTTTGAACTGTGGAAAGACGCCATATAAATGAAATTATGTATGTATATATGTCACCACAGTCTGCCCTAATCTTCTCAGCCAGGCCAATGCCCTCAGGTATGGTGGCATATGCAAAGGAAATCTTTTGGGGCTTAAATTTAGCAAAACCAGCTGCAAAACCACCACAGATGGGTGTGTTATTGTTGTTTATTTTATTTTATTTTAAAGGAAAAATCCCCTTGCCATTTTCTGAAATAAATGACCTGCTTGTACTTCTTTCTACTTGCTGACAGAATGTTCTGGTTTGTTTTTCAGCTGAGCTGCTTAGCCAAGAGGGTACTGCTCAGTGGACCCCCAGAGGATTTCAACAACTACCCTAAAGACTTGTTTCTCTTTTTAAGGTAAATGTAGAGTAGTGTTATAAGATGTGGTGGGCTTGGATGATGCCCATGAGTTCCTTCCAAACTTGTGATTGTGTATTTGTAAGGATGGAATCCACCAGGGGGAACTACTGAACTGGCCATACTAGTCTCTTTGTTAAGACATTGGCCCTAGCCAGGCTTGTAAGCACCCTGCTTTTACATGACTAAAGAGTGGTCATGTTGCTATGGATATGAAAACTGGCTGGTGATTGCTCTTTCCAGGGGAGGAAATAAGCGGGTTCTTCCCCACGCTCCTCAATCGTCTTTGTAGATAATAGAGGCAAGAAAGCCAGGGGATGC